CTGAATTTTTGCCGTATGACTCAATCTTTTGGTGTACTTCATCATCCATGGGGCACAGTGCTGATTGCCAGAGGCAGCAGCCTTAGTGGCAGACAATTTTTATCTCAAATCTTCCATCCGAAGCCTCTTAATATATAACTTAGTTGTTAAGCTCATCCGAATCATCTGCATTATTTATACGGAGCATCTTGACACTCTCGAGGAATGCAGCTGCGCTCTTATCTTCTTTTGCGAGATAAGAAAAATCAAAAATTCAATCTAATTATTCGATCTTGCAGACAAGTGCATCAAATGGTACGGCTGATAGAGCATACTGTCTTTAGCGTCTTTTTGGTGCTCTTCCATGACTGGGCGTCATCTCGGATAATCCATCTTTAGTCTAGCTTAGCAATAAGCATTTGTGCCGCATATACACAACGTTATGGACTTTTGATTCAGTGGAATACACCACGTATTATTTTGTAATCTCGAAAGGTTGTTTACTGTTTTCAGTATGAAATCAGGTCTGTAAAACCTGCATTGATGTCGTTAGATAATAAACAAGCAGAGTAGATGCAATCTAATTTTTACAGGAGGTTTAATCTCATATCTATTCACATTCCAGCAATCAAGCAAGGGTATTTATTACTCAAATATATTTTTATGACCTCTATTATATTACGTTTGTCATCATCACCAATAAGATAAAAGTGAGGTCACTCTGTCTCACGTCCAGTTTTAGCTATTCCGATAGGCCCTGATAAACTTCATATATCTCATGCTAACAAAGTATCTATAGAAGTACTTTGATATTTAGCAATCTGACAGTGATAATTTTTGCAAACTAACCTAAAACAATTCAGCATAATTTACAATTGAAGTATAAAATAAAAGTAGTTTTGGCTATTAACAAGAGATACTAAGTTGGCTGAGGTTCCGTACACAAACCAGCATATGACGTAGTTTTCCTAAATATTTCTCAAATTCACAGTCGAAAGACAATTGTTATCACTGTAAAGCGAATGATTATTAGAAGTAAAAGGCTGGTGCATAGGAAAGATTATAATAGTGAGGAGCTATTGCTTGATGAAGATGATCCCCTTGGCTTGGTTGAAAATAAGATTAGTTTAATGAGACTAAAATTAATTATGGATAGAAATACGAGCGACATAGGAAGCCTGATACTTTTCTTTATATCCTGAACTTTCCTTCCTCTCCTATTAATGAAGAGAAAGCGGAACTTGTAAAATATTATGCTATCAAAGTTTTTCTTAAGGCAAATTCTTCATCCTATATGGTTATGTGTCATTTTAGAAGAGGTTTGACCCTTTATCCTAATCACGCTGTCATGAAATAAGGTCCAGCTGTGGTCTTCCGCGTGCTATGGAGACTCTTTCACCATATGGTATCTCAGCACAGAATTACTTGTTGGGGCTAAGCACCCGGCAGTAACAGGACATGAGATATACTGGCTTGAGTTGTCTCGCTACGGTGTC